TTTTTTTTTTTTTTTTTTTTTGCAGTTTCTTTCTATGAAACTCACAGCTGCAAGCTCCTATTATGACTTCAACTCAGACTCAGATACTGCCGATAGATTGAAGGTAGATTATAGTATAAATTGTGAGATTCCTTATAAGGGTGTAAATACCTCTCCCTAGTAGACATGTTTTATAACGGTGAGGCTGATGGCGATATGTAACGGGCCAAAACGGACAATATTTGTTAGAGGTGGACTTGAGCTGTTATAAATGGTATTAGAGCTAGACATCTGGCGGTGTGCTAGCAAAGATGCTAGCCCCAAGGGGGTGGATTGTAAAATTCCACATTGGTTGGAGGGGGGAACGAAACATTCGTATAAGGGTGTGGAAACCTCTCCCTAGTAGATGCGTTTTAAAACTGTGAGGCTGACGGCGATAAGTAACGGGCCAAAGCAGGCCATATCTGTTAGGGGTGGGCTTGGACGGTTACAGAAACAGTGCCAACCATATTCTTTCAAAACTTACTGCATTACTCTCGCCCTTCACTAAACGTTCTAAACGATTTGTATTCCAAGGATAGTTCTCAAACGTTTATGAAAAGAAACAAACTGACTGTTTGAATGTGATTGAATTGGGCAGGGAAAGGAAATGAGGGAAGGAAATGGAGGATTATTGGTTGCATCAACTGAAGATGGTCCCTTTGACATGAGCTTTGGTTCTTATTCCACAACAATATGAACAAGCTTAGCTCACAACTTAGCTCCTATATTAATTATTCTCCATCACCAAAATTAGTTCCCTTAAGCCATACTACACATTGATTTATCCTTGTAATCAACCCCTCTATCATACATCTCACAAATTCCATGGATCTAAATGTAATGGGTTAGTTTTTTGGATCATGAACGCAATATTTTCATAACTAAGAGATTATTTTATTTTCAATCTCTCTGTCATTTTCATTACTGAATCCAATAATGGGTTTTGGGTCCGACAGGACTTTAATTCTTAGTTCCCACATCTTCCAAATTGATTGGACCTGAATAAGATCCTTTTAAGTGTTCATATAACAACATGGTTGTTGATGAGTAGCTCTTTGAAAGATGTGAGAACTTCCTTCTTAATCAATTTCTTCCCTTTTAAGTTTGATTCAATAATCACGACTTGATATGATATTGTCCATTTTGAGCTTCTTCAAAATGCCTCATACCGAGATAGCATGGTCTTCCATTAAATTACCTCAACAAAAATAAGATATACTCGAAAATATATACTATTTAGATTAAAATTTGAGAGTAAAACACAGTATGTATGTTTGTATGATGTCCTGCTAACTATGGAATAAGTTTAAAAGGGGAAAATACAAAGGGTTAAAGGACGAAATAGCAAAAAAAACCAAATGTGTGGGTAAAAGTATGAAAATGACAAAATTGAGTGACAAAAATGGAATAAGACATTAGAAGCAAAGTGGGTTGAAGAAAAAATGGGGATTTTAAATTTGATTGCGAACGACAAGTCGATTGTGGAAATCCAGTTTGGACAAAAAGCTAAGCCCTTTGGGATCCCACATGTCGACAAAAAATAAAATATTATTCATACTTCCAATTTCATAAAGTAAATGATTGTATTATATTAATATAGAAGAGATTTTTTTTTTCTCCAGAAATTTCATTGTATGGTTAAGGGGATGGATGCATTGTATCCATAATAATTGAAGAGAGAAACTCCATGTGGTGAAGGAAAAAGTTCATACCCAAACCATTATAATTATATTTTCAACTTATCTTATTGGTCTCTATGTTTCTTTCATTTTTCAATTCCTTCAAAAAAATGTAAATATAATATTATTAATTAACGTCCGGGCCTCAAATGGATAGGATTGAATTAAATCGGGTTAACACATTTTTTTATATCCAATCAATTATTCCAGTTATAAATTTTTTCGGCCGCTCTTATTTAATTATGTACTCAATCCAATCCAACCATCATTTCCGAATTGAGTTAGTTTGAATTCTTCAAAAAAAAAATTATTTTTAATTAAACTAGAATATTAATTTGTAAAATATCTATTTATTTTTTCAAACATATTCTAGAATTTAATTATATTGAAATGTATTGTTTATATTTATAATCATTGATATTGATATGTTTATAAAAATTAAAATTTTGATATCGATATTTTAATTTTGGTTAGACCTAAGGTCATAATGGAATATTGCATGATTTTTTTTTTCATAATCATATAGAGTGAAATCCCACATCCATCGGAGAGAGAAACAAGTGCCAGCGAGTGCGTTGAGTTCGAAAGGGTCCCACATTGGTTGGAGAGGAGAATAAAACATTTTTTTTTTTATAAAACTGTGTAAACGGATGTTTTTTAAAAACCTCCTGAGAAAAGCATAAATAGAACAATATTTGGTAGTGATGGACTTAAACCGTTACATATAAATTAAAAACAAGTGGAGATAATGATTAAAAGGTCTAATTCTTAATTGATGGTGTATCTCTCTCTGACGAACAGAAGTACACTCTTACCTAAACATGTAAAATTAAACTATCATTTCGAGTATAAATTCAACTATTTATTATTGATATCTAAGAAAAACAGAGTATGACCTGTTAAGCAAACATGCATGAAAAGGGGTTGATGAATGTCTTCCCCACTAAATCTTTCTTCTATTCTGTTTTTAACTTGGTGTTTTTGGAGTATGCATGAACAAGGAGATAAAGTTCATGCATCCATACCCACACCAAAATCCGACATCACCCATCAACTTTTTCCTTCTTCATCTTGGTTGGTGGGTTGTCATAATCCAATTCAATTTTACTTTATAATCTTGCTTCCCAAATTATATTTTATTTATTCAAATTCAATTTTGTTTCAGTTTTTGTTGTTGTGGAAATTATAAAATTAACCCACTGATTATCGTAATTAAATAAATTATTTTCTACGAGAGCATATAGTATAAGATAATTTTTATTGTATTCGTCACTAAAAATAATCATGCTATTGTGATAGACCCACGACGAAATAAGGCAATGATTGGAATGAGTTGTCATTGTTGGTGTGATATTAACTAAAAATCACATCGAATAGAGACATGTTTTCGTATGTTTGATTATACGTAAGGTTACACTTACCTAATTCAATTTTTAATTTTCTTAAAGTCTAACAACACTCCTAATCAGTTTATCTAGAAAAAAAGTTTTATTTAATGTCTAAAACTACTGTCTTATCCACTAACTATAAAGAAAAGAAAACAATAAAAAATTTATAATAAGACGAATATGCTTAACCGTGTAACGAAAAGGAATACGTAAGTATCTCGACCATATGAAAGATTAATCGGGAGACAAGGCGGGTGACGTGGAGCCACGACTCTTCCTTAAAAACCCTCTTGAATTGATTCAAGTGATTCAATAGCTTGAAAACTAAGATGTCTCTCATACGTGCTAAAACATTTTTTTGTCTTGATGTGGTTCTCTCCGAGAAAGAGTGAACCCTTGACCTAATTTGATTTGATTGGGATTTAATATGTATAAAATATTTAAAATAAAATAATAGATTTTCATATGCAGTAATATATGTGTTGATTGTCTTTTGAATAATAATACATGTGTTAATTATTAAGAATTAAATATGTTATTAGATACATATAAAGAATCAAATGATAAAGTTTAGTGAAATATTTTATTTTATTTTATTTTGATGATTCCATTCAACCAACATGGATTTTTTTTTTCCTTACTTTTTTTAAAAAAATCGTTTTTTAGATCCTAATTTATAAGTGGTGTTGTTTCGTTTTAATAATAATAAAATGACTAAATTAATAAAAATATCATTAAAATTTTTAAATTACATTTTATCTAAAAAAAAATACCTTTAAATCTTTTTAAAGTTTCTATTATAAACTCTTAAAAAAAAATAATAAAAAAAATCTTATCATGAAATTCATTACTTTCAAAAATACCAACAAACTTTTAAATTCTTCTTATTAATACTCTTAATTAAAAAAAAAAAATTTCCAAAAATACCTTTAAACCTTAAATTTTTTTTTTTAAAACAACGTTAAACTCTGGCTTAAAAAATAAATATACACTTACAATAGTACCACATTTAATAAAAAATATACATTAACTATAAAAAAAAATTGGAGATAATTTTTTAGATATGAATGGACGATTTTTCCGTTCATATATTGACACAATTTTTTTTTAATTACTTTTAAAAAAATTAGAGGTATTTACTCAAACCTTTAAAGTTCAAAGATATTTTTAAAAGAACTAATGGACTGTGAGAATATTTTTACCGTTTCTATATGTGAGAATATTTTTTAATTTTATTTTTAAATGTAAATAATTATGATTTTTTTAAAAAAAATTAAACAGTATTATTGCGCGATATCTATTCCTTTGATTATTTTTAATAAAAAACCTAAGGGTACGGACAAGCCTTCCGCTAGTGTGGTTAAACAGGCTAAATTTCAAGCCCACGTAGCGTCTTAATTGGGCCACAGTCTTTGACAGAAAACAGGCCCATTTGTAAACCCAACCTTATCATAAAACAAATTAAAAATTTGACATTTTATTTGAATATAAATATTTTATGCGCAAATCATAAAACAAATTAAAAAATTAGCATGTAATAATAATAATAATAGTATTTTAAAGAACCGTTGTATCATCATTTTTTTTTTGAAGGGTGAGAATGTAATTTCCCATTGCTTCCATCCTATTCATTCTCACCTCACATACTTTAATAGATAACTGAAATGTTCAAGCATTGAATATTGACTCCATGGATAGTCTTCCTTCACCTATTGTAATATTATTATTCTTTTTAATACATGTGCCAAAAAACAAATAATATTGCATCCAAGTTGACATATTCTTATTTTTTTTATAAACAAAAAAATTTATATTGAATAATTTTATAATTATAATTTCTTATTTCATATTATGTGATATTTTGGACGAAAAAAAAAATGCAAAAATCATCCAAAATCTGGTTATATTTATTTTCAAATATTGATGGTTTATTTTATAAGAAAAGAAGATAAATAATAATTTTAATTTATGTTAAAAAAACTAGAGCCTACGTGGAATTTACAGTCAACTGCAGAAGGTTATTGAACTAAAATGGAGATAAAAAAAAGGAAGCTTTTTTTTTTTTTTTTGTCGCCATTTGATATGGTCAATGATGAAGCTTGAATCAAGAAATACCAAACTTAGCCAAATGATTTATCCGACCAAATTAGACGCATTGGATATAATTGCATTTAAAAATAAATTAAATAAGAAGTCAACCAATCGTGAGCTCCATTAGGGAACATTAAATTATTAAAATGACCTTGTGAACGAGTCAAGTCTCTCCTCCTCCTACTCCTCCGTCGTCTTTTCCGCCGCCGCCGCTGCCTCCACACTGATCGGGGAAGCGTTGGTTGAAGGCGACGGTGAGGATGGGTATTGAAGAAAAAGATGCTTAATTACGGTAGTAAATACTTTTTAAACATATTTATTAAAATTACCCCATTTTAAAATTTGATCTGTTCGGGTCAGGAAATCGGTGAGCGTACGCGCGGGAAAACGCGTGGGGCCAACTATATTGACATACTTGTGGGTCAACTTACCAACTGCCTGCTGGTTGGTTTTTTTTTTTTTTTTTTTTTTCTAAAAATTAAAACTTCCAAGAGCTCGACACAAAAATCTGTCGTTGTCACAGTCACGAACTGAATTGACATGTCCTTTCTTCTTCGTCTTCTTCGCTTCCTATTCGAAATTTCCCCATTAGCTTCCCCCACGGGTTCACCCTTTTCAGTTCACATTTTAATTATGGGACCCACTTGATTTTACTCTGTTTTCCTCAAATTCTCGGATTTTGACTTTTCTAAAACTGTGATCTTTCAACTTTTTCTTGGTGCTCTGCAACGGCGGACTTAGAGGAGGTTAGGCTTTTTGTGGGAATCGTTTCAAATGAGCAGAGTGGGTGGCCCAAGTGGGCGAAAGAGGGGTTTGTTCAACGGCGAAGGGGCCTTGGAGTTCTTCCGCCATTTAATGAGGGAGAAGCCTTTTCTTCCATTTCTGATACCTTTGGTTCTTGTTGCTTGGAGTATTGAGAGATGGGTCTTCTCTCTCTCCAATTGGGTTCCTTTGGCTGTTGCTGTGTGGGCCACTTTACAGGTTTGTTTATCTCTTATTTCAACGATGTTTTTTTGCCAGAATTGGAATGTATTTGATTCAATTCTTGAATTTCCTGTTTCTGCCCATATAATGTTTGATGTTTGTTCTTCCGTTCAAAACCTGTGTTTGAGCCTTGGAGTTGAGTCAATGCTTTGTCCTTCCACCACTTTCTTATAATATCAGTGGGTTTGGATTTGTAAGTGTTACATGGTACGAGTTTAATGTTATACAGTTCATATCCTTCGTTGAGACCTTTGCAGCCACAACTGCTCAAATATGTCTGCCCATTCATAATCAGAAGACACAAGTTACAATGTAGCAGAAGAAGTTAATTCTACCATTGCAAGTATAGCAGCAATTTGATTGAATAAGTCATTGAACTATCTAATTCTTTGTGAAACTTGAAGAAATTACATTGATGTAACACGTTAGTGATTAGACTCTTCAATCATTCTCCCATGTTTTTTTTTTTTTTTTTTTTTTTTTTTTTTTTTTTTTTTTTTTTTTTTTTT